ACGTCCAAGTCCACAAACTTACATAGCCTCTACTCCAATTGTCGTCAGTCGCCCTCGTGAGTTTTGAGAAGGCTGAAGCGAGACTGCAACGGTTTTTCCATCGTGCTGGAGGAGGATCGCAGCACATCTCGCACACGCAAGCTGGATCTGGAGGACAACGGGTCTTAGGTTTGTTGCGAGGCTGGAAGCAGAAGCACTTGCACAAATTAGGCTGGATCCCAACCTGGGACTCCACATGCCTCACCATCACCGCGTCCTTCGCTGACAAAGGCTTGGTCCATGTCCTGTTTGTCGTGCCGACTAAAGCTTGCAGAGGCATCATCGCCTAGCACGTCAACAAAGGACAAGGCGCTGGGAGAAGCCGTCGGAGTTTGACCCCTTGCCCCGTGCTATTGATGTGCTATGCACAGGCCGGTTCTCAGCCGGGCACCCCGCGACAATCTGCTCAGGACATGCAGCGACTAGTTTGCCACTGTCACGGCGGTAACATGCGGTAACCCTCAGTCGTCGGATCACGCGAAAGCATGCACGGCTATATCTAGCACCCACCCGAATTGAGGACCCCCGTGCTGCCCGCGCGCGTGTGTTGCTTTTGCTCGCTTGCTTGAAACCAGCTCAAACGTCTGGTCAAGACACTACAGTTCCATGTCATTTGGGAGGACACTTTGCGACACCCGCACGCCATCAAATAACTGCAGACTGCCATAGTATGTTAGATCAGGGAGCCTTAAAGTCGCCCTGAAAGTTCACAGCAGCGCTTTTGTCCAGACGCGCACCAAACTGTGGCTCTTGAGCCCCGGTGTGGTCTCTGTCTGGAGGACGAGTGTTCACATTTCAACACACCTCCTTGAGTTTACAGTACGATACTATACTTCACACACAGACAAAGGTAACACTACAGGAGAAGCTAACGCTACATGAGAACAAGGGTGCTGCGAAGTGGAGTCACGCGACATGCCTCATATGTAGAACACAAGAGTCGCTAAGGAGAACATAACTGTACGTCGGCACAGCACAGCCACTGGGCCCGTCAAAGTGCAGCTGCTAAGACAAGATGGAGAGCCGGAGACGCTGCTGTCTCAGCTGCGGTAGCTGCCGCTGGCATAGGCTCAGCGTTGACACCTGACCACTTCTTTGGGATTCAGTTTGACTCACTGAATGAGATCAACACGAGGCGCCATTGAGCTGAGTGGCCTGCTTATGCTTGTCTAGCACAATGATTTCATCCTGTCGCAAACGCTCAAGAATGTCCATCCCGGAATCGCGCAAAACGTTTTCAGCAGCTGGGTGACCAACAGTCCTTCAGATTCATTGCGAGTCGGACCGAAAGCGGCACTGTGACAGCATGAGCGCTCACCACCAATCAGCGGAATTGCTCTGCGATTTATTTGCATCGGAATGCCACATCTCAAGTGTACAGCGTACGGGAACGAAGAAAGGACCTGACTTTGGTCGGGGTACTTCGATCAGGGAGTATTGGCCGGTCGTAGGGATGAACGGAATTCCAACCAGGCAGCCCTGGCGCAGACAGTGCACTCAGCGACTTCTGTCTGGGGCACACATGTGCAGATTCCGAATTCGAGTGATGTCCTTGCACCTGTTGAATACCTTTTGCAGACTATATGTACGTTTGCATTCGCCTCATGCCACTGACAGGAGCATTTGCAGGTACGTAGCTTTGGCGGTGTCCCAAAGGTTTCACCACCTTATAGCACGATCTTTGCTGCCAACGCATGTTGCAAAGCTCGCCGGCCCCCTGCCTCACTATGACTCCCACCGTCATAGTCTAGTAGTACTGCAGAGGCCAAGAATTTAGAGCGATGCTGCACATCTGAGCGATGCTGCACATCTGCAAACGAATGAGCCTTGCTTTGACTCGCTGCACCGCACAATCCACTACAGGGGACGGTCGTAAGATCTTTCACCCAGAACGAGGAAACCAATTTAATTACGAGCCCTTCAATCGATGAGTTTGACATCGACGATTAACAATCTGACAGCCACTTTGTGGCGCCTGCAGACGGGATCTGCCAGCTGCAAGATTGATTCGAACAAACGCAAAATCTTTGAACCTGCGGAAGGTAGTCGCAATTGGACCCCAGCTGGTTGCAGTGACAACATGCCTCAGCAAAAAACGCACAGACCGTTACAGGATCTTCCGGTGCGAGCAGCGCGGCGGCCGACGGCCAAGGCTCTATAAATCCTGCTAGATGCTGTTTCTGCGGCTAACTAGCTCTGTCGGCATTCCAGGTTTGTGCGTCGATCATACGAGTTGGGTTGGGAGGTGGCTGAGGGATAGGCTCTGCAGAGGCGCGGGCGGCACGGCTGCCAACCGCAGGCCCAGCATACTATTGCTGGCAATGATCCTACGTCGTCCTCCACGCCGCAGAGGAGTGTTGCTTTTGTTTTGCCAGGAAGCTCCACGAGCAGTTTGGGGCCCATCACCCTGGAGGACGTCCCGAAGGCACGCCTCTCGGATGCATCTGTGTGCCACAGTAGGGCTGGGATTTTTCCGTTTCCCCTTGCAGAGGAGTTCCTCCGATCGAGTTCAGGTCCAGCTGGCACTCAGGACGGGACGTGCCATGAGGTGCCCATGACATTCAGAGCCCCTCTGTGACCCAAGGCTAGAGAGGAGAAGACCGCCTCTCACGAGTTCAGTTCCTTGGCCTGAGCGTGAAGAGCGCTTTGTCTCGATCTTTGGGTGTTTTTCGTTGCAGTGTCAAAGGTTACAACCGCGCCTTGGCCATGCTGAAATTCGCGGAGACTCGAGCAGGCGACGGGCGACGGGAAGATTTGAACGTCTGCGCGCGTCCTAAAAACCCATCTTGGAGAGCACCAGGTGGCTCGGGCGTGCCCAGCGCCAGATCCCAAAATGCCTTCTTGGAGCGGCTGAAGCATAGGGCAGCGGCTAAGGCCACGAGTTCCATGCAGAGTTTGCCAGGGCGAGTGGAGGAGACCTTGCAGGCCTGGCCCGGGCGCAGGGTGGAACCACCGATTCGTGCCTTTGGCCTTTGGAAGGGCCTGGCGCCGGTGAAGAGCTCCAAGAGTGGCAGCCTCCGCCTCGGCCAAAGAAGGCGAGAACAGAGGGAGAGTGGTTTGCCCGAGGCTCCGCGCAGCGCTTCATGCGTGTTCCTCGTCTGTCGTTGGATGGAGGCCGGCGATGGAACACGTCGACTTCAAGCGGCACACGACAACTAGGTTACACCTCTCCTTTGGTTGTGTCAAGATGCATTGCTTCTCAACGCAGCTACGCAGTTCCGTAGCTTTCACGTCACATCCTGCCAGGGCCAGTCGTTTAGGCTCGGTTAGGGTTTCAATGACCCCTTGGGATGTGGATGTACCTTAGACGGGCCACGAAACATCCGCACCGGCCATCAGGCGGTGGCTAGTCTCTATTGGAGAGCGCCATTCGCGGCACCAAACTTTGCGAGCTCAAGGTGCGCCCATACCCTTCCATTTGATGGCTCGTAACACGCGACATGTGAACTTGGAGCATCGTGGAATCCAGTTGCTCCCCACACTTAAGACTCGGGACGAACTCATCAGGCAGATCCTCTGAGTCTCTTGATTCCTTTGGATGCTTTACCAAGGCAACACAGTGCATGTTGGGGAGATGCATAGTCCTGTACAGTAGCATTAGTTTTTCGCGTCAGCGACTTGTGGAACGGTGAACTCTCAGGCCAACGTTGCACGAAGCAAACATGCTCCGCGCCAGTGCGTGTGGAAAGGTAGCAAAACTCACGACAACGATGGCCCAATCAAAGCAGACAGCGGCCCAGCCCTAGAAGCAGCGGAGGCAATGACGTCCGAATGGACAGGAGGGTAACCAGAGAGCCGATTCTCCTGGCAGTCAATCGAACAGTTTTCTAACCGGCAACCGCTGCAATGATTACGAAGCTCACGATGCTGACACATTGCGACTAGCATTGATAAGTTCCGAAAGGGTCTCGATCGCCAGGTGTGCCGTCGGAAAGTGAGAGCTGAGTGACGGCTATTGACTGGGCGAGCATCCGAGGACTTCTAAACTTTGAGTCTCAGTCTTTGACAGGGGAGAGATCAACACGATCACAACCCCCGAATGAAGCTGCACTGGGGACCTGGTCCAAGACCTATCCTTGTGCCACCGGCTCTGAAATCCGGATCTGCAAGACATTTGATGCTGCAAGTGCCGTACTTGAACCGGCTCATGCCCAGGCCCCGTTCCAAGCTGCAACTGGGCTGGGCCGCTGACTTGGAGGGTGCCAAAGCATGCCTGGATTGCACGCGCATGCAACTGCCCGAACTTAGACTCAAGTCTTGCGGATAGTTTTAGACCAAGACATCCAAGGTGCCCTTGTGTGATTTCGCACAGGCCTATTGTCTGGAGATGCCTTCTCATGATTCCCCAAGCCAGCGTTATGAGTTGTCTTGGATTCTGATGCCCTCTTTTCACAGGCCCTTCCTCTTGTGATTCGTGTTTTTGGGGATACCGCGTTGTCGCGGTGAGTGTGGTTTGGATTGATTGTAGTGCTCTCTTCGTCACTGCTGCACACTGTGACACTTCTGTGGATGTCATCTACCAAATCTGTTCTTAATTTGAGGCCCGCGATTCATCTTCGGCAAACTTGTCACATTTTAACACCATTTACAGCGCTTTCGCGTCGGTATCGGGAACCAGCACAGCTTGCCTGGAACGGATCTGTGTGTTAGATGCTAGGACCAACCTGGCAGGTGAATTTGAGCGATCGTGGTCTTCCGCTGAGACGGCAAAGTCTTGCATGGCTCAGGCTTGCATGTAGATTGTAGATGGGGTGCGCAGCGATGTTTTGGTGCCGCTGCCTCAGCACAATTTTATTGGCGCCTGCGCGACCTACTATGAATGCAAAAGAAGTTGGCACATGGCTTGGCATTGTCTGTTTTTTGCATTGCGTCACAGATGGGATGTGCACGACAGGCTATGGAGTCTTTGCATTCACTGCTTGGAGCACTCGTTGAGCTGAGCAGCTTGCATACGTGGCCAGGAACGCATCGTTCAGCGGGTGGTGGCACATCTAGCCAGAGCCGCAGCTGATTCAATACTAAGCTCAGGTCAGGGCGCAAGATTCCTCAATGGGTTGGCACTTGCACACACTGTAGTGATGGCGGGAAGATGCGGAATGCTAGAACCACAGCTGCCAGATGCCGAGGCTGACGTGCGCAATTGCCTGCGCGCCTGTGTAAGGCGAACCGAGGCACACCACTTGTCGCATCATTTGCCATCGATTTATGAGGTAGGTGTCGAACTGCAACACACCGGTTCGGTTGGTACTTTATCTCGGTCAGTAAGCCTCCTTGTGCGGTAACATCCTGCCAACATCTGCCAAACACAGCTCCTTCTGCAAAAAATGTGTTTGCTGGTTTGGGCAAAGCCCAGGTATTTGAATGTCCCAAAAATTTCCACTGCAGCCAGCACACATCCATTGCAGCAGCAACTAATAGAGAACTCTGTCGTTTCGAAGCGACGGAAGCTCAGCTCGAGCGCTGTGAGAGTTCCACGCCATCCAAACTGGGAAGCGCACCAAATGCAGCAACACTCATGGCCAACCATCATGTCTTCATAAATCTCGATGTCTTTACGCTGCGCAGGATGTGGCCATCCAGCGTCTGCTGACAGTCCTAGCAGAGATGATTGACGAAAAGACGGACTACGACATGCAAAAGGCACGAAGCGTGAATGTTGGAGGGAATTTAACGGCTTGCCGGAGACAAGCACTGTGACTGAACTCATCGACTTGCTTCTGTAATGTGAAAGAGCAGGGAGGACACAAAAGGGTGGGGGGACGGGGGAAACTGCTCGAAAAAGGGCCAGAAGGGACGGCAGGAGGGGGGATCGAAATTGGACGCTTAAACCTGGTGTCACTGAGCTTGAGGGATGCAGGGAGGAGGATTAGTCAGACCGGACTAGGTGAAACCCCCAAGATGCTCTGCGGCCTCGGCGGATGTTGGAGTTATGCCTGTGTGCAGCCAAAGCGTCGTACTGTAGGTACTCGCTCACTTGGATCCACGTGAGAAGGCGAAGTTGCGAGCATTGCAAGGTTGAGCTGCGAGTGGAAGCTGTGACCCAAACCGACTGCAGGAGACCTGTTCGAAGATTCAGTGGCTCTGCTCTGAGAAAGAGAGGTTTCTTGTGGTATGGCTTTGCCTGTCACCCATTTGGTTCATTTTCATTCTGCGCGCAAGGCCCACCGCGAACCTGAATGCAGCATTGCCGGACTCTCACGGGTCAATACTGGCAGCCTTGGTGTTTTTTCAATCCTTTGCTTGTTATGCCTGCATAGCATGGCAGCATGGTGGTTTGCGAGCATCTCGGCTTCCTGTCCCCAGAAAACGAAAATGCTGAGGTGGCAGCGCAATCGCATCCCACATGTCGGTGGAGCATGAGTGAGCTGGACAGAGTTTTCTCTTTGACGTTGTGCAAAGTCTATGTTTGATACAAAAACGCGTTGCACACGTAAGATCAGATCTTGCTTTTACGGGAGACAGGATCAACCGCGACAATGCAGAAGACCAAGACTGCAATCACGGGCACACTTGCAGGTCCAGCACAACACACATAACAGGACTTAGGACAAATGCGCTAGGGCTAGGAAGACATAACTTGCGTAGCAAGACCAAATAGATCTTTTGACGGACGGCATTAAGTAATCGTTGATGCAGTGCTGATGTAGTTATCCCTTATCCGCTGTGTGCAGGTATGTATGTGTGCAGTCAAATTCGCCTAGCTGACCAGGCGGTGCATGCCTTCAGTTGTTTGTCGTTTGGACTGCCGGAAGCTAGATAGAACACACCATGAGTTGTGAAGATTTGCCAACGCAAGCTTCGGGCCACTCCGAACTCAAATTCACTCTGCATGCTGAGCATGCTGTGGTAGTACTCCACGGGAAGCCTGAACGACTCAGACATCGCTTCATTGAAGACTTGCTGGATGAGACGGGAGGCTTTTATTGAGGGAAGCTGGACATTCTAATCTGGATAAGTTACGTGCATCCCGTCACCTTCCTGACAGTATCCAGCGTGGAATGGCTTTGCCCGCTTTTGGCTACGAGCTCCAGGGTTATGGCGGATCTTTTTTAAGGCGCTGTGCCGGACACCAAGTCATCCAGATTCCTTGTACAGGTCTCTGCTACATGACAGCTTGAAGATCAAGCATGGCAAGCACGATCTGCAAGAGCAGAGCGTCCAAGGTTGGCCAAATGGCGGTGGCCTTTGGAGAGGCTGTCCGACACCAGACGAACTGCAACCTGCCAGCCGTTGTCTTGCAGGTTGCAGTGGTGCCACATGACTCTGCGGAGCCCTTCGACAGGAATCGAGGGTTCCTGGACCCTTCCAGCTTTTGGTGTTTTCGTCACCACGCTTGCTAGGACGTCTCTGGACCCCGAATCTGGCTTGCCAGAGATGCAGGCAAGAGCTCGTTAAGCGCATGCAAGCTTGCTTTCGTAGGTTTGAAAGCTTCTCTGACCGCATGAGCTTGCATCAGCTTTTGCCACGCAGCGTTTGCGAGCTTATGCGAGCTTCAGTGCGGCGGCTCGCTCCGATGGCATCGTCTGAGGCCAAGAAGCGCCGATGGATGGGCCGTGGCGGCTACCCGAGCCATCTCGCGGAGTCCAAATGCCAGCTTGGGGAAAACGGTACCAAGCATCGGATCGCCGTACTTGGGCGAACGCTCTCATCTTTGCTGTTCGTGAAGGAGTTGAAGCGCGCACTCAAGATGCGGACAGACATCATGGTCGAAATTGCTCTGTTCCCAGCAATGTTCGACCCAGCTCGGAACATATACACACCCCATGCTATGTGTGAGTTCACCAGCAGCAACTTCTTGGCAACTGCTGGAGATCAGGGTGAGAATGCAGAGCTCTGTGCTTTGGAAGACGATTTTGCGGAGCGGTACCTTCGTCCCTGGCTAAAGCATGGCCGTGTGAGAGAAAGCGACAGCAAGGCTCAGGGATCTCCAGTTTCGTATTCGGCCATGAACGGAGGAATGTTTCAACTCTTACAGGACCTCGAGCAGGAGTTGGTGGAGGAGGAGGACAGCGGGCCATGCGGGATATCTGTCTCATGCCACGAAGGCTTACAGTTGACGCAGATGTGGTACGACGAGATTTCCAAGAAATGGTGCCTATACAGTGAGTTCGTCAAAGGATCTGGGAAAGACTGGTACAGCGCGCACCAGGTTCCCAACGGGTCAACTTTTTACGATCACGTCATCATGGGATTTGACTTGGACCCAAGGGGCGCAAGAAAGGCCAGCTTTAAGCAGATGTTGGAGTCGGCTTTGCCCACGACAGGTTCGGTGATTCGATGTTTGGCATCTGCTCCGTGTGCGAGTGCGATGTCGTGCGTGGTGGAGTTTGAGGGCGATATCCAACCTGAAGGCTCGGACGGGTTTGAGCTTAGCACGCCCCAGGATGCTGGAATACTCGAACTGGCTGAGCAGCTGAAGGCTTCATCACATGCCATAGGGCGTGGGCTGCGGTTTCAGGGACGAGCGGTTTGGAACTTGACTGCCACAGTAAAATGGTCCAAGTCGATACGGAGCTCTTTTACCGGAACCTGGGACAAAAAAAAGGTGGAAAATGAGATGGTGGATGCCTTCCGACGCACCCGGAAAGCTTCGGACCAGCTTGGGCGCCACAAGGGTTTGGTGCCGTGTTTCCATTGGCAGAACGCGTGGCCGTTGACTGCGCTCAGCGACTCCAAAAAGCCGAGCTGCGTCTACGACGCTCGGTGTAAGCTCGGCTATGCCTCGGATGCTTTCGTCTTCTGTCCAGTTAGTGCTGTGACGGCCTTACGGCAAGTACGGGCTTGCAACCTGCTCCATCCATTTAAGAGCGCCTGTGATCTTGCTGCACTTGTGGCACAAGACCTGCAGGGTACACCATCGGAGCTCTCCCGCTTGCCTCACCGCTCAGAGTGGCAGTTCCGAAGCGATCTGGTTGCAAACCTCTCACAGAACCTGCGCGAAGCCTACTCAGACACTGGACGGGCAGATCCACAAGATGGTCTGGACCACACCTGGCCAACAGCCGCACAGCTGGCAAGCGACGAGTCATTGGTACTCCACCACGCCGATAGCCTGAAGAAGTACAGAAACAGGTAGCACTCGGTAGCACTATTCCATCCTGGGCTGGCACTGGGTCCATGTACAGCTCACATGGCCGCAGCCTCAAGCGTTAATGACGCATGTCTAGTTTTCCTGCAGCTGCCCCTGCCGATGCCCACGGTCATGCTGCTATCCTGGAAATCTTGAAACAAATCACATGAACAGTTACTCTGATGGTCAGCATGACGCTCAAGTTTTCAGGCGAGCCAGCCTTTCCAGCTCGCGAGACACATCAAACACGTGTCGACGCGGACGCTCTTGCGCCGAATGTGAGCGAAAACTCCCGAGCACACCAGCCGTGGATCCAGAGTACTCGTAGTGCAGCAATGTGAATCAGTCAGGTTCGTTTCCAAATTTCAGAGACGCTGTGGTCCCAGAGCTTTCACTGCAGTGTGAGCACGTTCGCCGCGTAAGTTCAGTCTGACACGATGGACTTCTGCTTGGATGTGGCTCATTCTGAGGCCCAGCACCTCGAGTGCTTGGCGACGTGGCTGCAACAACCGTCGTTGCGACCCGCTCAGCTGCGTTTCTGTGCCGAGGATGAAGGATGCATTTTCGGAGGGGGGAAGGCTGGGCCGGGCTGAAAGTCGGACGAGAGCGGGACACTTGAGAATGCTCGCATCCGTCCGTGTCTGTGACAGATCGCTGTGGCGATTCCCGAGCAAGCCTGGCTCCGTGCCGGAGTACATGCGAAGGCCGTTTGCCTATGTTTGCCTAATGCTGCAGGAATCCTCCACGCAGCATGTGCTGAAACGAGAGGGAAGCATCCCTAGCACCGCAAGATACCACGCTCATGCCAGAAGGGCTGCATTCTGCGTCGGCAGTGTCTGACTGTCTATCATCTTGCTTTTGTCAGCACTCAGGGCTTTCCGTGTGAAGACGTTTTCGCTGATGAGTCTGCAGCTTCTGGTGGTCTTTGTGGAGATGGTGAAAGCCTCAGCAAGCATCTGCGCGCCTCATCAGCACACACATCGAGAGTTGCCAGAAGTTCTTACCAGTGGTTGCATCTAGATCTCCATCGACCACTACCAGCTGTGGCACAACGTCCTCACTGAGATGCGGGAGGGACACTTCATCGATGTGGGGCAAGAGGTGGGATATGATTCGGACTCCAGCACGAATGGTCCCGAAGGCTTTTGCGAGAAAGAGTCTTTGCAGACCAGAGTTCAATGCGTAGCCATTACAGCCAGCCGGCTACAGTGTCCGATGGGAACAGGAAGCTGACCTCGTAGAGAATTCAAGCCCATGACCGGCGTCTTGCATTGAAGTGCGATAAGTAGGAGAAGGTTTCAGCATTGGTCGGACCTCAGACAAGGAAAGGTCAAAGACAGCGATTTTCATGTCAACCTAGGAGACCTGCTTGCCGCCTGGAGTGAGATCATTCCCACATTCAGGTGCTTTTCTACAGCTCCGGCTTTTGCACACTTATTTCCATAATGGCATCTTGAACTGGATTTGTTTTGCCGTCGCATGCTCCCAGAGATGATTGCGGAGTGAAGCGAGAGCGACAGCAAGAATGGAAAGCATACAGTCAAACTTGAGGTAATGTTCTGCGTCAAGGACAGATACCCTGTAAATTATTGGACCCTTGGCAGAATTGGTTCGCCATCCGGATGGAAGCGAAATTGCGGTATACCAGCACGTCATTTGCGTGTGAGGCTAATTGCGCTGACAACCTTGCTCTCGGGATCTTTTTGGGGGATGACGCGTGCGGTTGTGCAGACAACCATGCACTTCCAGACTCTCGGATGCAAGGGAACGTGATTCTGGGACCCTGCGAGTGCAGAAAGATGGCTTCAGAGTGCGTCAGTGCAAGGATCGTTGGGATCCTTTGCTGCTCGATGACGGGAGGAGCTGCAGCTTGGCTTCCCCCCTTGAATCGGTTTAGGGTTTAGGGTTTAGGTTTAGGACCTTGAATGGGCCTGCGAGCAAAAGCAGCATGCAGCAGCATACAGATGAACTGGGTTGCGTGAGGTCTTGTGTGTGTGTGTGTGTGTGGGTGGGTGTGTGTTTGTGTGCGGAAACACTGTGGCAGACGCGGGAGAGTTGTTTTTCTGGGCAGACGGCAGGCCGTAGGTACAAGGGCCCAGGTCTGAGGGGCCTCCAGGCGGAAGTTCGTCAGCGCGATAGGTTGCTTTCCGCCGTGCCGAAGGTTGCGTCGATGTTGGTGAAGGAGGTGCACGGTCCGAAGCTGCTTGTGGCGACCCTGGCTCCGGGCTGGTTACTGGGAGCCACACTCAACGTGGCGTCCTCGACGTTGAGCCACAGCCCTGCCTGCACT